AAGGCGAGGTTCTAACACCTCCACAGGTTATGAGCGCCCAATCTGCTCTTATCGAGGCGGATGTAAGCGGCCGGGCAATATCAAGGTCAGCATATGGCTCTGCAGACTCTGGTGGAGCTGGAGGAAGCGGTAGTGGAATGCCGACTGCGGGAGGAATAGCTCCGAGGGAGCCCCTACAGCTCAATGGCACGGGAGCTGCTGGTCCGCCTTTGACCTCGGATCGACAGCTCCCCTGCAACCCGAGCAGGCAATCGGCCCGAGGAGGCGTGGGAGAAGTGAGACGGTTGTCGAGTGAGGATTTGGGTGCTATTACTGTTGAACGTACAACTGTGGACGCGAATGACGATCGAAGTGGAGCCACAACCGGAGCGGGCGCGACTGTTACCGGACTGGGCGCGACGTCACGGGGCGTTCAGGGTGGTTCAGGGTTGGTTCCTGTCGTACAGCAACAGCAGCAGCAGCCTGAAGCAACACCACAACAACTTCAAGCCGTGCAGCAGCAGCAGTCTGAAGCACCACTATCCCAACCTCGAGCTGTGCAGCAACAGCAGTCTGAAGCACCACTACCACAACCTCAAGCCGCGCAGCTGCAGCAGTCTGGAACTTCACTACCACAGCGTCAACCTGATCAACCACGACAAGGGGTAGTGCAACCTCAGCTTCATGCCGGGCAACGACCACAAGATCATGTGTTCTCGACTAGGGAGATCAGCCAGGGCAACGTTGTTGCAGCTGATGTGGGAGCTTTAGACAGGTCGGCTACGACAAGAGAAGCACAGTTTGCCATGGCACAGTTGACTGAGCAGCGTGGAGCCCTGATCAGCGCCTTGCATGTACGCGCGGCCCGTATGCTGAACTCAGGTGGTGACCATGGGGACGAAGCTGATCCAGGACCTGAGAGGAGTGAAAGACAAGAACCAGCTGGAGATCATTTGGTATGGTTCTCCAGGCTTCGGGGAATGATTCAGCGGGGTTTGGCTCCAGTAACGGAACGATGGATGCAATCAATGCCTGTGGGATCCCCGGCTTCCTGGCACTCTCAGTCTCCTTCATGGTCCTTAACGCAAACGCCAAGGGCAACTACAGTGGTGGAGCCTATGTACGGGCAAGCTGAGGCGGGATGGCCTACTGCGGCCTACCAACAGCCGAGACAGCTGACGGAGAGGCCCGGGGATCAGTCGTCTACGGACTCCATCCCCGCCGAGATGGTTCATGAGGAAGTGCGACGGCAAGTCCAGATTGCTATGCAGGGTCGGGACAGCCGCAACCAAGCTTTGCAGACGGAAAACCAGGAGCTCCGACAGCTTTTGGTGGAGATGATTGAAGCCGGTCAGGCTCGAAGGGGAGTTGGAGAAGGACCTGCTGGACCAGTTGCGATGGAGGCTTCTGAGCGCGGCCATGAAGTCGGTGAAGGAGCCAATGCTGGAGCTAGACAGCCTTCTGGACGAGGGGAACCTTCGAGTGCTTATCCTGGCGAAGACCAAGGGAGAAATCCACCTGTCCTACCTGTTCCAGGTCGTGGTGCAGTAAGGGCTCCTCCGGGTCTTGAACAGTGTGATGGTTCAGTGCGGGGTCAAGCGCCCCCCTTGTCGAACCCTGCAGGTGGTGGCGGTGGAAGAGCCACAGGCAAACCGTGGGGCGATGAGAGGACTTCTCAACCAGCTGGAGGTGATGGACCGTTCAGAGGTGGGAGAAGCTTGGCAGATCCCGCAGCAGGTGAAAGCGAGGTGGGGGGACATGGAGGCGAGGACTCTATGGGCCTACTCGCCAAGGGCATTCAGCAACTCCAACAACTACAACTGCGAAGAGAAGGCCCTGAACCTGAGTTGCTGAAGGGAAGCCTGGAACTTCCTAAGTTGCCGGAACCCTACCAGGACACGAGTGCGGTGGCTTTCCTGGAGTGGATCTACGAGACGGGCCAGGTCATTGGCTCCATCACGGACAAGGCCGGTGTGTGGTGGGCAATGACGCAGGAGCTGGTGATGGAGGCGTACCAACGCTACCAGGTGGAGACTCCCTTAAAGCGCCTGGAGATCAAACCGGGCACGAGCGCGGAGCTAGAGGACGGACGATGGAGCCGCTTGGACAAACGTGTAATGGCCCTCCTTCTCCCAGCGATGACGGCCAATGTCAAACAGGAAATCCTGATGTTGCGCCTGGCAGCAGTCAAGGACGTGCTCTTCAAGCTCTACACGGTCTATGCTCCTGGGGGTGCGGCAGAGAGAGCGAGCTTGTTGAAGCAGTTGGAAATAATTCCATCCCAGACCTCAGTGGTGGAACTGATTGGCAGCTTGAGGAGATGGAAGAAGTTGGCCAACCGTGCGGCGGAGATGGGTGTGGCCTTGCCAGATGGATCTGTTCTTTTGGTGGCAATCGAAACCGCCATCAAGGGCCTGGTTGACTCCAACCGGGACATGGCCTTCAAGCTGAACATGGCAAAGCAGGAGCTCCAACTCCCTTGCAGACCTACGGTCAGTACGGTGATGACGTATGCCGATCATGTGATGGCTGAGCTGCAGCAAATCATCCCGTACAACAACAAGGACGCGAAGCTGAAGGGAATGCAGACTAACCCCTCAACACCTACTTCGAGTACAGCGTCGCCAAAGGGGAAGGGAGCTGGGCAACCTCAACCTTGCAAGTTTTGGCTTTCAGATGATGGGTGCCGCCGAGGAGCTTCATGTAAGTACACCCACCAGTTCGCCACGAAGGAGGGCAAGAAGGCCCGATGTTGGACATGTGGGGCGAAGAATCACCGCCAGAGTGAATGCCCAACCAGGCAGAGCAGCAGCAAGAAGGGGCAGAAGGGCGGAGGTGGTTCAGTGGAAGGCACCGCCCAGACCTCATCTACCACCATGCCACAAGTTGCATCTTTGGGAACTCCAACGGCAACAAGTGGAACTCTGGCCCCACCGGGTCCAACGATGGTCTCTACAGGGACAGCCTCGACCTCGGCGACCTCTACCCTGGAGAATCCCATGGTCACAGCACCGACTACCTCATCGAGTGAGCCCTCCTCTGCAGCCTCAACAATTCTCTTCAACGAGAGCCCCAACACCGGGGAGATCAAGGAGCTGGCTGAGCAGTTCCTGGCGAAGATCAAGAGGCTGGCGCCAATGCAGGCGCAGACGGATGGAGCAGTGATGGACTTGGAGTTGCTTTTGAGGTCCCAGGGCTTGGGAGAGAGCCACGGGATGGCCCTGTTGGACAGTGGAGCATCTCATGCCTACCGTGCTCCACGATCGTTGGAGGAGGCTCGGTCCTCCCGGAGAGTCAAGGTCCAACTCGCCGACGGCAAGACAGTTTCCCTACGCCAGAACACCGGTGGCACCCTTCTTGCTGAAGACGATCAAGGAGGGACTATATTGCCGTTGGGAAGTTTGGTGAGTTCTCTCGGGTGCGAGCTCGAGTGGAGCAGGAAGCGTGGGCTCCAGGTGAGGCATCCTAAGCATGGCTTGCTGCCAACGAAGCTTGTGGGGAATACTCCGGTGCTCCGCGAAGCCGAAGCCCTACAGTTGATTGCGGACCTGGAAGACATCGAGCTGAATAAGCTGCATGGATCCACAGTCGAGGGAGCAGTCAAGATGCTGAACACGGAGGAACATCCCAGCACCTGGTTGGACCACCTAGAGGAGTACATCAACAAGGGAGAGCGGAAGTGCCTAAGGCGGATGCTCGTGGACGAAGAGTCGCCATTGCAGGCGTTCACGGAGGAGGACATTGCTGCCCTCATTGGCCACGACGAGAGGATCCTGCTGTCGGATGAGGCGGGTGCTCACTACCTGAAGGCGCTCCCCTACAACCGCGCCCACCGCAAGAGACTACTGGGAACCAGGTGGATCGTACACATGTACAATGGAGATGAAAGTGGACATGAGTTTGCGAAGGCGGAGTCGGACGATGTGACGGTGATCCGCATGGACATCAGGGATTCGAAGGCCTTTGACCTCAAGAACTACGGACCTGCAGCTCGAGCTTTGATGTGGGCTGCGGCACGGGGGCAAATCGAAGGTGTGATTGGAGCCCCCCCTCGAGGACCACAGCACGATTCACTGCTTTTCAGAAGAATGATGATGGTGTGGTTGGTGGCGAACTCGGGTGCCGTTCTCAATGGACTATGTGCACCGTTCTTCAACATGGAGGCTCCGACGTACCACCCTGTATGGACCAGTATGTCATGGTTTCGGTTTAAGGATGAGCTGCGCTTCCTCAAGTACCACTCACTTGGAGTACAGGGCCACATGTACTTTATGGCGTCTTCTTTGGAGCTGTCCGATGGAATGAGTATTGAAGAGGCTCACATTCGAGATTTGAACTACGAGAAGCCTCCATCAACCTGGCCTTCAGCACTGAAGTATGGTCTGGCCCAAGCAATGGTAAACGCGCAGCGCCTTACGGTGGGCTGAGCCATCTCTATGTGCTATGGTTGGCAACCGGAACCTCAATGCGAAGGACCTAGCGTACTGGCAGAACCACATCAACAACAACCATGTTCCCTATGACAAGAGGTGCCGTACGTGTGTGCGGGGCTCTGCCACTGGAAGGGCCCACCGGCGATGCCTTACACCGTCGGCGTATACGCTGTCCATGGACATTTGTGGCCCTATGAGAACTCGTGGGGAATCGCCGGATGGCAAGAAGTTCCGGTACCTCTTGGTAGGAGCCTACTCGCATCCCAAGCTGGACCTTCCCAAGGACTACGCCCTCCCACCAGTTGAGGAGGAGGACGAGATTGAGGCGGAGATGGACCCGTTTGAGGAGGAAGAGAAGGAACCGCAGCCAGAGGTGGAAGATGATGAGGAGCAGCGAGCAATGAATGAGAGGTGCAAGGAGATTTACAAGGGCATTGGCGACGACATCGAGTGCCAAACCTTGCATTTTGTGGTCCCAATGGTTACGAGGACATCCAAGGAGGTCAGGGCGAAGATCCAGCAAATCTATTTACAGTTGCGACAACATGGCCTTCCTTTGGTTCGCATACATTCCGATCGCGGGCTGGAGCTCAAGGCGAAGGAAACGCGGGCGTGGATGGCAGACAGAGATATTCTGGCGACAACGGGCGAGAGCCAGCAGCCTCAGCAGAATGGCAGAGCAGAAGCCCTGGTTCGCGAGATCAAGCGCCGGGTTAAGGTTTTGCTCAGAGCCGCGAATTTACCTGTGAGTTGTTGGCCGTCGGCAGCTGAGTTTGCAGCCAGGAGACAACGGGACCTCGCCCTTGGCAACTATGAGGATAAGGACCTTCCGTATGGTGCCCCCACCCATGTGAAGCGCAAGCAGTTTGGGCAAGGTGGAAGATACGACCTCCTGGAGCGATGGCGAGAAGGAACCTTTGTGGGGTACTCCAATGATGTGAAGAACGGACGAGTGGTTCGGCACATAGATGGTTCCTATACTACTTCAGTCCACATCAAGCCCTACTTGTTCGACCCTGAAGACGTGGCTGAGCTTGGACTCACGAGCTTGAGCTTCCAGAGCCAGAACGGCGTGTCCGTGGGAAGGCTACAATTTCCCGGCTTTTGCGGGAACCGGACAACGACATCGACCTACTGGCCAAGGACTACATCGACAACGAGAAGTTTACCTTGGAGGATGTAGTCAATTTCTGGGAAGTTCTGAAGGACAAGGCGGGATCAACAACAAGAGCGGCTCAAGATGGAGGACTTCAGTGGATGGTGGGACAGTATACCTACGGTGGAAAGTGCGGGGTGATGAGGAACACGGACATCTACCCCATCGCAACCTCCTACCTGGTGGAAGCCTTCAAGAAGCTGACGGGAAGGACGGACTTCACAGCCCTATTGCTCACTGAGAATGTGGGGATGAAGTGCCACCGTGATGTTCACAACCACGGCCAGCGAAACAACCTCTTACTTCCTCTACTACAATGTGACGCGGGTGGTGGTGTTTGGGTTGAGTCACCTTCCAGTGAGTATGACCTTACAGACGAGTGGAAGGAAACCCCAAAGGGAGGCTGGAGACGGGGTCGCGTACATGAACTACGGCCTGGACACCTCATTCATATCAATCCAAGGATGTTTCATGCCACGGAGACCTGGGAAGGAAGGAGATTGGTGATCACAGCCTACACCCCACGAACTTCCAAGATGACCCAGTCAATCTATGATCTCCTAAAGGACTATGGTTTTGATCCTCCTCCACTACAACCTCAAGTACCAGATGAACTCAAGAATGTGTATCTCAGGATGATGGCCTTGGAGGGTACAACGGAACCTGAGGCGGTGATGTTCTTGATAAACGAGGCTGAGGAGGAGAAGAGATCAAAGACCAAGGCCATCAGCCAAGAACTTCAACAACTACAAGAGGATGTATTGGAGCGCTTGACGGAGCGTCGGGAGTGGCTCAAGGAGTTCCTGGCTGAGGAGGAGATTCTGGCTGAGGAGTTCCATGACATCGGGGAAGTGATCCGTGACGAGATCAAGGGTGTCAACGATGTTGTGCGTGACCTTATTGCAGACGTGGAGGAACAGATTAAGGTGGCTGAGGAGAAGTGCAACCAGCTGTTCATCAAGGTCGCAAATGTCGATGATGATAAGGAGATTGGGGACATTGAGGAGTATTTGTCCAATCTCAAGAAGGACCTTGAGGTGACCCTGGATGTCCCCCTCGACCAAGTGAAGACCAACCTGGAGCAATGGATTCCACCTATGAAGGCCGAATTGGCGAACCTTGAGGAGAAGACGGACGCTATCGAGCGGTGGCCCATCGCTGAGGCTCGCAAGCTGGAACAGGAGGGGAAACTTATCCTGATACCAGGGAAGGTTGTCTGCACCGTCAAGCCACCGCCGCCGGTGGCGTCGTCACCTACCAAGAGTCAGCAACCGAGGTGGAAACGCAAGGCCAGGGTGGTGATCTGTGGGAACATGGCTGGCCAATGGCATGACCCGAACGACCTCTTTGCGGCAGGAGCAAGCGTTGAGGGTTTGAGGTTGGCACTCGCCATCGCGGTCGCTATGTCATGGTGTATAGCCTCCACGGATGTGTCTGCGGCCTTTCTGCAGGCAAGATGGCCTGCCGACCGTCCCACCTACGGGGTCATTCCGCCGAAGATACTCCTGCAAGCTGGACTGGTAGAATCTGGAGTGGTATTCATCGTCAAGAGGGCGTTGTATGGCTTGCGGGAGAGTCCAGCGTTATGGGCGGCTCACAGAACAGAGACACTCCAGGGACTCTCGGTGGAGAGTCCAGAAGGACGCGTCTACTTGAAGCAGATGATTACCGATGGTGAGCTGTGGATGATCCTTGTGGAGCCAAAGGGAGGAGGAAGGCCAATTCTGCGAGGAATCCTTGTAACCTATGTGGACGATCTCCTCTACATGGGAAAGAGAGACCTCATCGTCAAGATCCATGAAAAGATCAGTTCTATTTGGCCGTGCTCAGCATTGGAGTTTGCAGATGAGGGCCTGAGATACTTGGGAATGGAGCTGGTCCAGGAGGAGGCCTACGTGACATTGTCCCAGGAGTCTTATGTGGACAACTTGGTGAGATTGCATGGGCTGGATCCGCAATCTTCAGCGGGATTACCGTGCCCCAAGGAATGGCTGCAGGATGAGGACTTTGATGACAGCGTCGAGAATTTCAACGACGATGAGCTACGTCGGGCACAGCGTGTTACAGGCGAATGCCTGTGGCTGGCCTATCGCACTCGGCCCGATATCCTGTTCGTCACGAACTACATGGCCGCGATGACTTCGAAGAAACCGGTGAAGGTTTACAACGTGGGTCTCAAGGTGATTTCCTACCTCAATTCCTCCGCCAAGCTGAAGCTCAAGATCGCAGCCAGTGCAGAACAGATGCAGTCCACAGAACAGATGCAGTCCACAGAACAAATGCAGTCCACAGAACAAATGCAGTCCACAGAACAGATGCAGTCCACAGAACAGATGCAGTCCACAGAACAGACGCAGCCGGGTCGAGGATCAGATGGGGTCAAGCATGTAGCAGGCTTCAGGGTTCCCCTAGCTGGATATTGCGACGCATCCTTTGCCCCTTACGGGGGGAAAAGTTATGGTTGCTCTATGACAATGCTGGGTCAGACTCCTGTGTCGTGGAAAGCAGGGAAACAACCGTTAGTGGCTATGTCCGTCTGCGAGGCGGAACTACTCGAGGGCTCGAACTGCGCGTTGCTCCTTGAATCTACGATGGCCATGGTTCGGGAGCTTCTTCCAGACAGTTTGCCTCCAAGGATGTACATTGACAATCAAGCAGCTGGCAACATCCTGAACGGTTCTTCTGGAAGCTGGCGGACCCGTCATCTTCGGATTCGCCATTCGTATGTGTTGGACCGGATCAAGGCTGGACATTTGTTTGTTGAGCACGTTGCAGGGCAGGATCAACCGGCTGACCTACCAACAAAGATGCATTCCAAAGCAAGATTGTTGTATTTGCTTGGCGTTTGGGGAATGGTGGGCTTAGAAGGACTGAACGGAGAAAGGGTCCTTGAAGGCCTGAAGCTTGGTTGTCTTTTGTTGGTGATGGTGGCTATTCAGTCATTGGCGGCAGCGGCGGAGGATCAGCATGGAAACGAGCCGGTGAAACTCAAGGAACCCCTGCCGGTGACTGGGACGAGTGAGTTGGTGGTTCTTGTGTTGGTGACGTGCATCGCTGCCGTGGCTGTTTGGGAGCTGGCAAAAGGCATCTACGCTACGTGTGTCCCAATGATCTTTGGCACCAAGAAGTCCAGGAGGATCAAAAGGCTCCGAGAGTTGGCCAAGGCAGCAGCAGAAGCGGAGGTTGAGAAGTGGATCGACGACGGAGCTCAACCACGAGATGAAGATATTGTTATGAATGTGAGACGTACCTTGAGGGGAACTGCATCGGATCCAGGACCTACAACACAGCGACGACAGCCAACGCCACCGGATGAAACACCGAGGACCCCCGATATGAGGGGAAGGAGCCCGGGAAGACCCATGGCTCAGAGAACATCGGTCTTTGGAGGGACCAGACCACCTACTCCACCCATTCCGAGGGACGTTGATGAAGGACTACTTGAGCGAGAGAGGGTTCTCCATGATGTGCTAAGTTTGATGACGGCGCAACACCTTCGTGAAGCCCTGGCTCAGGAGGGCCTTCCAGTTTCTGGCCTTAAGGACGATTTGGTTCGCAGGTTGTCACCGAGGCTGGGTACAGCAGAGTCCTTCCCAGCTACTCTTCCGACGACAAGGCAGTACCGTTATCTTCTTTACATCTGGAGGCATCGAAGGCTGTCAGGAAGAACCCAGATCCTGTGGCCAACTGTGTCGTCCCGGTCCGCAATTTCGGCATGGATTGCGAACTGGAAGGAGGCCTAGACGCTCGGAATGTGGTACGCGCCGCAGGCGTGTCCCAAGGAGGAGTGATGAAGTGTGTGTGTCGAGACTTTATCGAATGTCCGCTTGTAAAGATCTCAAGGAAGACACAAGAGTGTATAGATGCTTGATCATGTTCAGCTCTCCCTACACTGTACACTTTAGGTTGAGAAAGGCTGAACCGAACTTAACTTCGCACAGCTTTCATGTGTCGGAAAAAGAGTGATCTCATCCAATTCGAAGCCCATGGCCCGTTCTGCCTGATACAATCCAACCTCCGGAAGATTATTTACTACCTGGATGTATCATCAAGGCGAGGTTCTAACACCTCCACAGTTTCCTTAGGGTTCCAAAGGGTTCCATAGGGTTCTACAGAGTTCTAGGGCGTTCAAAAGGTTTCTATAGGTTTCCATAGGGTTTCACAGAGTTCTAGGGCGTTCAAAGGGTTTCTATAGGGTTCTATAGGGCTCCATAGGGTTCTACAAAGTTCTACAGGGTTTATGGCCCAAGGGGGTTATAGTGGTTGTGCCCTATCGCTAAAGCCCGTTAAGGCCCGTAAGGCCTGCTGCGACGGGTCAGGTCTGCAAATATGTCAAAGGGACTTGTAGCAGAGCCCCTAGTAGCAGGAGTCAATTTTATTAATGATTCCCAAAAAGCATAGAAGCACACCCTAAGAGCACACACCCCGAGACCCCAACGCCCTGAACCTGAAATACTAAAGCCTTAAGGCCTTACGCAAACCCTAAACCCGAAATTCCTGAATTAAGTCCCATGATCCCTTATCCCCAAAATCCTGGACCCCAAAGCTCTAGCCCCAAGATCCTAAACCCTCAACCCTATCCCCAAAATCCTAAGCCCTCAACCCTGTCCCCAAAAACCCAGCCTCAAGCTGTACCTGCAGAGTTTGCAGCAGGATTGCGGGGCTGCCTGTTTCGGGGGTTCAGGGGTTCATTTTGGGCCTTTAGACTATAGGATTAGGGTTTGGGGTTTGGAAGTTTAGGAGTTTAGGAGTTCAGGAGTTCAGGAGTTTAGGCGTTTAGGAGTTTAGGAGTTTAGGGTTTCGGGTTTAGGGTTTAGGAGTTTAGGAGCTAAGGCGTTTAGGGCTCAAGCCCTACATCCTAAACCGTAGAGCCTTTAGACTTTATGGCGAATGCCCAGGGCTTCACAGGCAGCTTGGGTTCTGGATGCTGGGTTGACGGTCTGGCAAAAAAGGGTTTAGGATTTCTAAGGTTTAAGGAATAATCTGTGTCTGGGAATTCCAGTATTCTGTGCCTGAGAAAGCCAATGGAAGTTGGCACCACATAGCTCGGTTGATTCTTTTCTTGGGATCTTACGCCACTCAACTCCGCACTCCCTGTAGGCCCTAAACCCTAAACTCTAAACGCTCAAGCAGATTGTGGATGTTGCCCCGTGATTCTGGGCTTAGGGGATTTAAGGTCTTTGGGGGCCTTGGTGTTCTTAGGAGCTGTGCCTCAGACACCAACTACCTCCTAAACCCTAACCCTAAAACTTCAACCCTAAACCTTTCCCAAAACCCTAATCCTAATCCTCGCCCCAAACCCTAAAATCTAAGCCTGAGTGCGAATTGCTGGCCGCCTGTAACAGGCCTCAATGTGTACGGATGCGACTTGGGTAGTTCTCTGAATTAGGGGTCCTTAGGTCACCGACATAGTACGGCGCACTTATACAAAGGACCCCAAAGGGATCCTAATTTCGAGAACTACCCCCTTTAGGCTATTAGGGTGTCTTCTTAAGGTCTGTGAGCCCCGGTTTGGCGGGCTTAGGGAAGTTTAATTAGGGGTTTAAGGCTTGAGGGCTTAGGGGTTTAGGGTTTCGGGGCTTAGGGGTTTAGGGTAAAGCGGCTTAGGGATTTAGGGTTTGGGGTTTAAGGGCTTTAGGGGTTCAAAGTTTAACCCTAAACCCTATACCCTAAACCCCTAAACCCTATACCCTAAACCCTTAAACCCTAAACCGGGTCTGCTCAAACGGGTTCTAAACCCACATTCCCAATTTCTGCAGGCTCAAGCACTGGAGAGTCTCGGGTCAGGGGCTTATATAGGGTTTAGGGTTTTTGGGTTTAGGGTTAAGGGTTAGGGTTGTAGGTTTAGGGCTTTAGGGCAAGAACCTGAAGCCATGAGCCCGGTACTAAACTCCAGAGCCCTAACGATAACAAGCCCATGAGCCTGACACAATCTGGGTAGTTCTTCAAATTAGCATCGTCACCAGCATAGTACGGCGCCCTCATAAAAAAGTGCACTAAAATGGATCCTCATCTACAGAGCTATACCCATATCAGCTCGCATAAAGGCATAAAGAGGGGCTCAGGGCATTGATAATGTACCGCTTATTTTTAGCACACTTAGCAGAACCATCACAACATCAGCAAAACACATTTCGTTCAACTATTACGGTCCCGGCTAAATATGCTTTAAACCCAAAACCCTCAGAAACAAAGGCTTCTTACTACACCTCAGCCCTAAACTCTTCAAACAAGCGTTGTTCTCATGTTGAAACCCCCTCTATGACAAGCAGGCCTAAACCCTTAAAAGACAGCTCTAAACCCTGAACACTTCAAAAAGGCGTTGTTCTGATTTTGAAAACCGTCTATACAAAAAGAGCTGAATAAACCCTAAGCCCTAAACTGCCTAAACCCCCTAAAACCCTTTTCTGCCTAAACCCTAAACCCCTCTAAACCCTAAACCCTACACTGCCTAAACCCTAAACCCAAACCTAAGCCCTGAACTCCTATAAACCCTAAACCCTAAACCCTAAACACCTATAAACCCCGAAACCGTAAACCCCTATAAACCCTAAACCCTAAGCCTAAACCCTCAACCCTAAACCCCCTCATGGCAAGCTCTGCTGCGCCGAACTCCCGGGGTCTTTGAGCCTTCACGGAGCAATGGATGAAGTGGCCTGGTTCAATTTGGGATCTAGGGTCTAGGGGGTTTATAGGGTTTAGGGTTTAGGCAATTTAGGGTTTAGGGTTTTAGGGGGTTTAGGGCTTAGGCAGTTTAGTGTTTAGGGTTTAAGGGGGTTTAGGGTTTAAGGCTTAGGCAGTTTAGGGTGTAATTACGGGGTTTAGGGTTTAGGGTTTAGGCAGTTTAGGGTGTAATTAGGGGGTTAGGGTTTAGGGTTTTGCAGTCTAGGGTGCAGGGGGTTTGGGGTTTAGGTTTGGGGTTGCTTTTGGGGTGCCCATATCCTAAACCTAAACCCTAAACCCTAAAAACTTGTGCTATATAGGGGTTCAAGAGTTTACGAGGTTTCACGGGGAAGGGGGGCTTCCTTAGGTTTAGGGTTCAGGGTTTAGGGTTCAGCTACCGAAAAACCCTTCAGAGAAAATTTTCTAGTACTGTACCTGGAACACCAAAACACTAACATTTCACGTTCCTGAGTGGTACCTTTTTTGCCCTTTTCTATTGTATGTTGCCCTTGTGCAAACAGAGTAACAGGAAAAAGGGTACCCTCATCTGGGATGTGTTTAAGTTACCAGAATACGGATCTATAGTAAATAATATGGTTTCTTGATTTTAGTCACTCAAATCAAATCCCTTACCAAGAACCCAGTCAGTATTCAGGGGTCCCTCAAGGGACCTAGCATTGGCTACTTGCGGTTCAAGCCTTTTGGTTTGGGGCATAAGGGTTTAGGGTTTTGGTTTTGGGCTCTAGGGCTTAAGGGTTTAGGCCTTACAGGCTTAGGGGTTTAGGATTTAGGGTTTAAGGGTTTAAGGGTTTAGGGTTGAGGATTTAGGGTCATGGCCCCGGGGGGGTGGAGGTATGGGGCTTAGGGTTTGGAGGTTCATTACATTCAGGGCCCGGGGTTTCGGGTTTTAGGGCTTTCCCGAGAATTGGGAAGCTGAGATTTTCCCTGACCCTTCAGTGCAGAGGACGGCTTTGAGCTCTGGGCTTAGCGTTTAGAGGGGATGTAGTTGGTAGGTTTACTGGGGATAGTGGGTTATCCTGCTGAAAAAACCGTGGTTAAGGGACCCCTCAAAGGAACTTTTAAAGGACCCCTGAAAAGAACCCTGATAACCTTAAATAGAACCTACTTCCTCAGTCACTTGAGCCCTCAAGTGGGCTCAGCGCGTAAACCTAGACCCCCCAACTACCCTCTGGTATAGGGTTTAGTTTAGGGTCTAGGGTTTAGGGTCTAGGGGTTGAGGGTTTAGGGTTAAGGGTTTAGGGTTTGGGTTTTGGGTTTAGGTTTTAGGGGTTTAGGGGTTTAGGGGTTTAGGGTTGCAAAATTAGGCATCCGAATTTGCTGGAATTTGCAAAATGCCTGTAAACCCCACAACCACTAAACCCTTTAAATCCAATCCCTACATCCTAAACCCCTGAACCCTAAATAAGAGCCCCACGCCGAGGTGAGCTACGCGGAGTTCGAAAATCCTAACTTCGATGCCAAGGAAGACTCCGACGGTTGTTTGATGCCTTCAAACAGGGCTTTAGGGCCTGGGTCTCAGGGTTTAGGGGTTAGGGTTATGGTCTGGATTTAATTGGGGGAGTTTTATATGGTTGTTATCAGGTTGTAAGATCAAACCCTAGACCCTAAACCCTAAACCGACAAGTATTTCGCAAGGACTTGTCAACCGTTTCTGTCAGGTTTCATGTTTGGTTTCAGCAGGATCTTGTATAGGTTGCTCTGAATCTTAGGTAGTATTAGGGAGACATCTTAAAGGGGACCCTTCTTAACCCTTCTTAACCCACTTTCGGCTCTCCTTATATTAAAAGGGACCTTATTGAGAAGGTCGATGTCCGCAAGGGTCCCCCCTAAATGATCCTAACTCCCACTGAAGATTTTATGGTTCTTCTTGCCGTTCGTAGGACGTTTAATGTTTCGACACGGTGTTTCAGCGCTGCTGGGTTTCTCTTAGGCTTAGTTCCCCAATACCCAACCTTGAAACTTTTTGTGTTCTTATATTTTTGTAGTAACCTGAATGTTTAACCTTCTATTTCCCGGGCCTATTGGGGAAGTAAGTAGGGGTCTGGCTCAATTTCTGTAG